TGTCTAACTCAGTAAAATGAAGACCATGTGAGCAGAACGGCCCCTTCAGCTCGTTTTCCCAGAGTCCATGGCTTTGGATTTACCAAGATGTGATACAGTTGTCCGAGTGATTTCACTTTGGGATGTCAACATCTCAGTGGCCCATTCATAGATCCTTCTTGGTCATCCGCCACCCACGGATCATGACATGACATGCCCGTGACAGTGACCTCCCTCCTGCCCCTCCTATTTACATATTTATGCTCCTTCCACTGGAGCATTTTGTGTGTGTGTGCCCATATAGAGGAAACTTAAACATTTGTTTTCTTTTAAACCTCAGGATTGAAACTTCAAAAACATTCCATAAAATAGTTCCATAAAACATTAATTCTGAGCATTGAGAAAACTGTGGTTCTTTGAAAATGGAAATGATTAGTGTTTCTAACTGGACACAGTGGCAGAGAATTTTGTGCATATTGTGTATCTCCTTTTTTCTCTGTGCTGAGCTGGTGGTTAAGTGATGTTGGAAAGGGAGTACAGCACCATCTCTGTTTTAAATTAAGATATCTTCTCCCTGAAATTTAAGAAAATCACAACCACAACCTGAATTTTCTCTGCAGAGAAATAAAATATGCTAACCTACAGAATGATGTGAGGAAATGTTTGTCTGTTTGGTTGCTCTTCTGTGTGAATGAGCCACCCTAAAATAAGAAAATTATTATTAATTGTTATTATTTCTAATTATTGGAGAGTAAACTTAAAAACCTCATACTTTCTACTGATGTAAAATATAGATTTCTTTCATCTTTATGATCTCATGAGGATGAGATAATTAAATAGGAAATTAAATTGTATATCCATAACTTAATAATGTTGTGCTTTTTCTTTTCAACCGTGAAGCCATATTTAAATCTGTTTGCTTTTTTCCATAATGGATGAGTGAGGCAAATAATTCTGGTTAGAGTCCATTACCAGCTTATAGAGAATATCCAAATTCTTTTTAGTCTCTATTGGAATTTCATTTTAAAAATTCAAACTAGAGATACTCCTTAGTAACAATTAAAAAGAAACATTTAGGTATACTTAAGATAATTCTAATTGAGTGTTCTCTAAGAAGAGTAGTTTTCAGGAATATATATGGTCATGAGCAGGTGATACTGTGTTTTATAAACTAAATGCTTTGTAAATATTATTTATAAATATAAATATTATTTCATCTCATGTAATTATTCATTTCCAGAATCAGTTGCTTGCACAATTTCCTCCCTTTTCTCTTCACTTTCCAACACTTCCTTCT